AATTTTTCAGGTCCGGATGAACTCAGTGTAGTCGACTACTCTGGCAAATAGTTGACTACTAAAGGCTGTTGCCTGAACTTTGTTTGATATTTGCTTGAGGTGTGTTTACAGGGTTTTAGCAGCACTTCTATACATGTAACTTCATGAATACACAAGTACAATGTCAATACACATGCATGTTTATCCCAGAAGGAGATTTTGACAAGAGTTGAGTTGTTTATGTCGAGATTAGTTATTATTACATATAAGTTGGATATTGTTAATGAGCACACCTCAACACTATACGAGATAGTGTGTCGATATACTAATGTACACAGATTATTCATGAAATGGATATCGTTGATGAGCTCAGTTCAGTACTACACGAGTTAGTGCGTCAATATCCCATATGTACAGGCCATTGAGTTGGGTTTGGATTCTTTGTATAGTAGTCCGTCCGCACGAGTGTGCAATGAGGCTGGTAAGCTGTCTATTTATGGTGATTCTGAGCCATCTATTTAGATACCTATATGGTAGGCCGTTCCACAGTAAGACTACGTGCTGAGATCGCGATGAGACTAATGAGCCGTGTATACTATTTATGATACCTAGAGGGTAGCCCATTACATTTAGATTGTTAATCTTTATTCTAAGACTTGGGTAGATGCCAGATATGAATATGATCCATTTTTGAATTATAAGACCGAGGTACTTAGCTCTTGAAAGTATACAGCATTATATGTTGGTATTTATTTTATCTTCCCAGTGATGATGGAAGATATTATAAATACGATATACTGATGCCTTTATTTTATTTACTGCTTTCTTTATCTCTTGGTTGGGATCGATGATTAGCGATTCACAATTTGAGACATATGGTATATACATGAGGGTTTTTTTGTTTGGATTATTTCACTCGACGTACCAGTCTCGTGTTGTGAATTTCTAATTGTTGATTTTATTAGTTGGTCTTTTCCTAGTTAGGTGTTAATGTTAAGGTATCTACAATTTGAGACATATGGTATATACATGAGGATTTTCTTGTTTGGATTATTTCGCTCGACGTACTATGTCTCATATTATAGTTTTTTAAATATTAATTCCACTTAGACACAAGAAAAAAGAATCTAGGTAGACTATGCTTAATAGATAGAGCCTCCACTCCATCTAACAGTCCTTCCCCTGGAGACGTATGGAGGTGATCTTGCTGTAGCGCTCTGACGCTCTTTATGTGGTTCTTTTTTTTGTTGTTTTCTCTTCTTTCAGGCGGTACAGAGGTACGGAGAGTCACAGGATGATGGAGTTCTTGCATAGTCGCCGTCACATGAGTTTTTAGAGGCTCCACAGTAGATTTTAGGTTTTATTCAGATATTAGAGTTTCTTTCTTTCTATAATGTAAAGACAGTATGCCTTAGTACGATTTTAGTTGGTTCATGTTGACATTTCATTGTTTCAGTTATCAGATATATTATTGTTGAGACATGATTCTCTTTATTTATGAGATATCTCTTTTATATCATATCTATTACATTTGTTCCTTTATTTTACCTATTTTGTACCTGCACTTCTGTTTGATTCCACTAGAGGATATTGCTGTGATTGGTGAAACGTGTTTATGCACGGTGTGGGTGCATGACACGTTTGACATCTCTGAGTTCACATTAGACTATAGCCTTGTGTGAAACTATGGGCGTCACAAAGAGAGATGTGAGGTCTTGGCGATTTTCTGAACATAAAGGGAGAATTTCGAGAGATCCAATGTCTTTCACCCGTTTCCTTGAGATCAGACCCTGTTTTAATTTTGAGAAGAGTGGTGATCTCACTTTGTTGAGGTTATTAACTTATGTTATAAGTTTCCTCGATTAAAACAAAAGAACACCGAGCCTTCTTTCATATCAACCTGGATCTGTTGTTCAGCGGTCCACGGATCAAAGCGTCCCAGGCAAAGACAAAGATCCCATGCATGCAGCAGATTGATAAACGATCTCTGTGTGTGTTTCTAGGAGAACTCATTTGTTTATTTTTGTTGTAACAAGAGATCTTATAAAAAGATTAACTCTCTTGAATCTGTAATTGATAAATAAGTATAATGGATTTAGTAATGAAAACAATTTCCGACGCAAACATTAATCTTATCACCAAAGCCAAGCGACCATGAAATATGATGTTGGAAAGCCTCTTTGTTAGAGATAATAGCATTCCAAAAAGATGAGTTAGAAGCATTACAGTGCGTAGTTTGGAGAGTAGAACCTCTATTAATGTAGAGTTGATGAAGAAAGGTGTCTACTAGTGAACCTCTATCCAGACATTTCCATAACCATTTGGAGAGAAGAGAAATATTAAAGTTTTTGATATCTTTAACTCCCAAACCACCTTCAGATATACTTCGACATACCTTCTTCCAATTGACCAAACATTTCAAAGATTTGGTTTCAGCCCTTCCTGACCAAAGGAAATTCTTTCGGATTTTGTCTATTTCTTTGATTAGCTAATTCAGCAGCTTATAGAATGACATGAAGTACAGGGGAGTGGAAGTAAGCACTGAGTTCAAAAGAACAAGCCTACCACCAAAAGACAGAGAATTGCTTTTCCATGATGCAAGTTTCCTATGTACATTATCTAGAATTGGTTGCCACTCAGATTTAAAGAGTTTGCCAGATTTCAATAGCAAACCAAGATACTTGATAGGAAGCTGCTCAACTTTACAGCTGAGTGCGGAGGCTAGATTGTGACCTCTGAGAGGAAGTTTGCCAAAATAAATGAGGGAGGACTTTGAGTACTTGATACCCAGTCCTAAAAGTTCCTCAAAATTATGTAATATTATTTTAAGGATAGATAAGTATCATCCACAAATTAAAGACTCCTTATCTGGTTTAGAGGTTCCTTAATATCCAGGCCATATAACAATCCATTAGCATCATTGTTCACGATCATTTTACTAAGAACATCAACTGCAATGTTGAAGTGCATAGGAGATAAAGGATCTCCTTGTTTAAGACCTCGTTTGCATGTGAAGAATTTAGATGGAGAACCGTTGACAAGCTCTGCACAATTGGATGAGGATATGATGTGATAAATCCATGAGCACCATTTGTTCCCAAAGCCCCTGGCTTTGAGTAAATTAATGAGGAAAGACCAATCTACAGAATCAAAAGCTTTGGCAAAATCAATTTTTAGCATAGCCACTTCTTTTTTCCTCTTAGAACAGAAATGGATCATTTCATTAGCAATTGACTTTTCTATTTTGTTTTTTTATCTTTTTTATTCCTAATAAATCAGTATCAACAGAAAGATGCTTTGACCTTTGTAATATCAATTAACTTGATGTTGAACTTTAAATTATGAAGTTAACATGTGAAAGACTTTGTCCTACTTATTATAAGCAAATTGACAAATGATCACCTAAACCATGAAGCATATGACTGAAAATTATTGATCTATTTTCTTCGATAAAAATATAGATTTGTTTCTCATTTTCATTGTGGATGGTTGTGTAAGATGTAGACAACCTAAACCATTCTCTTAGTTGTATATATTAACTTGGTGACTCATCAAAATGTTGGAGATTCTCACATCTATAACCTTTGTTCTTGATATCTTAAGGCAACATGATCATTTTCATCTTACATGCATTGCATTTTCATGTATAAATCATTAGATACCGCAACAATTTTACGTGCTATCAGTTACATGAGCATTACTTCTAGAGTATCCTAAAAGGCATAAGGGCAAGTTTGGTATTGCTTTTTTCGAAGAACATGGCAATGATATTTGGTGAATTTTTTTTTTGACATGCTTATTGAAACTGCTTTTGCTTTTAAATAGGTGTTTTTAGAAGCAACTTGAGGCTTCTTCTAAAACAGGTTCTTTCTTTTTTTAGTTTACAGACCATATATACTTTTTATCTTTTAACAATGATCATTATACATAATTCTACCAAACAATTTAGCTACTTTTTAAACAATTTTTTATATTTGATTACCAAACTCCTATTTTCAGAAGCTTATATAAATTACTTCTATAAGGTGCTTTTATAAGCAGGTTATTATAAGCTCCAACAAAAACAAACTGGCCCGTAATTGTAAATTGAACCACTTATTTAGTTATAATTATGGCAAATCTCTTGTACTACTCTTGACCAATTGAGAATAGACCCCCTTAGTATTATTGTGTGTATAGACCCCTTGTACTATTTGCCCAAGTGTTGAGACCCCTTGAGTGAAGTTTTTCCTCTTAAAAGAGACATAAAAAAGTTCACATAGAGAGCCACCTGCACAAATAAAATGACAAGAGACCAATTCGCAATATAATATAGGGAGTCTATCTAGAATTAGCCCTATCTAGAATTAGCCCCTTTGTTCACTTTAGGATATCAAAGACGGGCAAAAGATTTGATCAAAAAAAAAAAAAAAAAGACGGGCAAAAGTTTTGAATGTTAAAATGTAAGCAAACTTTTCACAAACTAATTTTTTTCACATAAATTCTTTATATGAAATAAAACTTTAGCGCTTACTTTTCAAGGGTAACAAAGGACAATCACCCTAAAAACAAATATGGAAAAAACAAATATAAAAAGTATAAAAAACAAATATAGAAAGGACTAGCGGCGCAGCTTGTTGCCCGCTTATCATCATCATCACATGTGTAATATTTTATCATCATTTATAATTATTAATATTTTTAAGTTTAAAATATAGAAAAGAAAAGAAAAGGAGAAGAACCAAGTGCAACGGCATCATGCTTTAACAAGTAACCATTAAATGTTTTACATTTTTAATTAAAAGAAATTAAAGCAACAAATAAATGCTAATAAACTCAAAATGAGGAAGTAGATGGAGTTGTTAAGACTAAATTAGCAGGAAAAAATTAAACTCCGTACACATGTAAAGCCTTCTAGCTGGCGTTTTCCTTGCTTACTAAGCATTATTGCTATCGAGTGAAAACATGAAACTTGTTTTCTTATTTTTGACTCCATAAACTGACAAATAACATCCGTTACTTTCTATGAGAGGGAGTTAGCCAAACGACGGTTTCAAGTTTCTTGAGTCTCTATTTAAGGAGCTCATTGGGGCTTTTTTTCCTTCACAGTGATATTGTTGCTCTATTCTTCTTGTTGTTCTTGTGCTTGTTCTTTGTTTTTTGTGAGAGAAGGAGCAATGGCTACTATTAGGATTCCTCACCCTGTTCCTTCTCCCGTTGAGGATGCTCAGGCTCTCATGAAAGCTTGCAAAGGTTTCTAATCTGTTCTCTCTCTCTCTCTCTCTCTCTACTCCTCCCTGTTTCTGTGTGTTTTATTTTTGTTGCAACTATGTTTGAGTTGTGTGATTTGTATTATGAGACTAAGCCACATAAGGAGTTAGATCGCATGTATGTCTATCTAGAAAATGTTTTGTTACGAGCTCGATCTAATTAGTATTCTTTTTATGCTAATTTCTTTTTTAAGAGAAAATGGGTGATCGCAATCAACTTAATTAAAGAAGGCATTTGGGTCTGAATAAAATGTCAATTAGATAGTATAGATTTACATGTTATCAATAAATTGTTGATTAAGACTTCGATTAAAGCCTTGATAAATGATTGTCATTCAATTTACTCTATGTTATTAGATTTCAGCCCATTGGGGGTAATTATTATTAATATTATCTGATTAAATATGGTATTATTGAAATTTGTATTTTGACACATCAGGGGCTTGATTAATGATTTTTTCTGTCAATATTTATTGTGGGATCAGGATTAGTTGGTCCTACCTTAGCCAGGCTAAACTAAGTAATCAAAATGATGTCACAAGAGTTTGGACTGATCCTAAATTGTTTTAGTTAACCATTTTACATCATGTTATGTCGAAATTTGCAGTTTACTAGTACTAAATAGAGCTCACATATCACATTCCTTTCGATTGGCTACTCAATTTGGAATAATGTTCTCGATCATAAAAATGTGGCACAAAACCTTTTAAAATTTTAATAGTTACATTTTTTTATTTACTTTCTAAAGAAATTGCATTTATTGTACATATTTGTTACTTAAGGATGGGGAACTGATGAGAAGGGAGTAATTGAAGTCATAGCATACAGAGATGCTACTCAAAGGAAGCTAATCAGAGAGGCTTATGAAGAGCTTTTTAATGAAAATCTCATTAAGCGACTCGAATCTGAACTCTCTGGAGACTTTGAGGTATGCTGTCTTTAAAATGCATCCATAAATTCGTACATACTAGAACTTCCATCTATAATTAAGTACAATTATATGACAAAATGCAGAAAGCAGTTTACCGTTGGATGTTTGATCCAGCAGAGAGAGAGGCCATCATTGCTAATGTAGCGATTAAGGATAATGACTATCGAGTTATAATTGAAACTGCTTGCATCAATTCGGCAAAAGAGCTCTTGGTTGTAAAGCAAACTTATCATGCCATCAACAAGCATTCACTTGAAGAAGATGTTGCATCTCATATCACTGGAGATTTCCGCAAGGTATTTCAATTGCTATGAAATAACAAATTCTATGATGCCAATTTTTAGGGTTAATTGCATATATACCATCTGTAGTATTGTTGTTTTGAACTTATTATCTATGTAGTTTCATTGTTGCAGATAGACCTCTAGGATTAATTATTGACTCTTTTTCCCTAGATATAATTTTGCCAGATATTGCGCCTCAGTTAAATTAGTGAGTCCGTTTGAGGTTAAAAGAGTAAAAAAATATTTAACCCAGTGGTAGTAGGTTGAAAAAGTGATGCTACATAGGATCTATGTGTAGTTAGCCCTTTTTATGACTTATATAATATGGTCTTTGAATTATGTTTTGTAGCTTTTGGTTGCTCTTGTGAGCACCTATAGATATGATGGAGATGAGGTCAATATTAAGTTAGCACAATCAGAAGCCAAGGTTCTTCATGATGCTATCAAGGAGAAAATCTACAATCATGAAGAGATTATAAGAATCTTGAGTACAAGAAGCAAGGCACAACTCAATGCTACCTTTAATCAGTACAAGGATGAGTATGGAGCTTCCATCACCAAGGTATACATAACATAACTTTGTAGATAATTTACAAGTTATCTTCATTACTATCATTTCCTTTAGCTAATTCTTTAATTACTGTTGTCAATAGGATTTATCTGGTGAAGGTTCAAATGAATTTGCATCGGCACTTAGAGTGGTTGTTCGATGTATCATCTCTCCTAAGAAATATTTCGAGAAGGTAAAAACACTAATTTTAATTACAAAAATTTCATCTGTACTTCAATTATCTTATGTACATACTTTGATGGGATGTGTAGCTTCTGCGTAGCGCAACTAGCAACCGTGGTAATGAAGATGCACTAACCCGTGTAATTGTGACACGGGCAGAGAAGGATTTGAGCGAGATCAAGGAACTTTATGAGAAGAGAACCAACATGAGTCTTGATCAAGCAATTAGCAAGGAGACTTCAGGGGATTACAAGAAATTTCTGCTCGCTTTGCTAGGGAACTGAAGTGTTCTATCATTGTTCAGGGCTATATCTCTTCGCACCTTAGTATCTAGTTCTGAGTTAGTTGCTGTGAACTTTATGTCTGGGTTTAGTAGGTCTCTGTTTAGTTTGGAAGTCTGTTGTTGTCGAGTTTGTAGTGTTATTTCCTGGAGTGGAGCTGTTGGTTTCAGAGATATGAGTGTTGAACTTGATGTATTAGCTTGAGAAGCATTGGGTGTTCTGTAGTCAAATTATGGTTTTAGTGTCTATTTGATGGATGGCTCATTCCTCTCTTTTTTTCTTTATTTTTTTCTTTTTCTTTGTTTTTCTTTTTTTTCGGTGAATTGCACATAAACTTATGTTCTATCTCTGTCTTGAACTTGCTATTCCTCTAGTTTTACCTTTGCAGATTGACCCCCAATTAATAAATTTTTTTTGCCTCTATTACCCTTAAAAACAGAGATTTTATTTATTATTATTATTTTGTCAAATAGACCTCCTTGGGGTCAGAGTCAAAAAAAATTCAATCGAGGGCTATCCGCAAAAACAAAACTAGAGGGATAGTAAATAGAAAACAAAAAAAGTAAGAGGGTGTATCCACGGTTGACCCTTTTTTAAAACTTGTTTGCTTTTCTTTATAAATATGTCTTTTGAGCATTGTTACATTTAATTTTTTCTAAGAAATATGGTAAGTCCGAAGAACCCCTACCGTTTCATTACAATGATCTTAACAAAACACCCAATTCAAAATAAAAGCAAGTATAGAAAGGAAAAAATAAAAGAAACGGAGAAACCTTCCAATCATAGTAAACTATACATGATTATCGACAACATATTGCTAAACAAACCAAAGAACTATGACGAAAAACAGGACCAATAGAACATATGAGTCTAGACACCCGAAACAGTCCAGCCACAATGCTCCACCTTAGTTCCCTTTCATATCGATGTCGTGATCTTATATGTCCTCTTATCTTCTGAGGTCGATGCCTCCGAGTCTACAAGGTTGAGACGCAAGGAACAACTGCTCCGCTCGCTCCTTATCAGCTCCTCGCTTTGTTTACTTTCTCAATTCTTTCATGCTTGGTTGCGTCCGCAGATGCTGATGTAACATAACGTGGTAATGAAATACCATGTGAATGTATGGATGCAATATGCTCACTGAATGCACATTGATATTTCAACGGATAGAATTGTTGAAGTTAATTTTAATTCTAAAAGGATTTGAGTTAGTTATCTCCAGGAATTATAGTCATAGTAGAATTCTATTATAAAACACTTTGTAAAGCCTTTAAATAGGCATTCATGCATCCTTCTACCTAAGAGAAAAAAGGAGAGAAGAAAAGGACAGGGGCAGAGTATTGTAGTTACAGTAACTGAGAGTTCAAAACAACTTTTTTATTTGCTTCTCCTAGTAAATATCTCTGCATACATATTATACTTCTATTTGCTTTGCTTTTTTTATTATTCCAACAGTGGTACTAGAGCCATGAACAATCTAAATGGGACGACGTTGCATTATATTCGTATATTGGATGGGAAAAATTATCACCGATGGGGAGTGCAGATAAAGGTATTGTTTGAATATCAAGGTATATTGGGTGTAGTAGAGAACGGAGTTGCAGATCTCACAGATAACGTAAGCGAAGCCGAGAAGAAAGGCCACGGTAAGATCAAGAAGAAGGATCAAAAGGCGTTATTTTCCATTCATCAAGGAGTGAATGATTCAGTTTTTGAGAAGATTGATGGAGCAACTACAGCAAAGCAAGCAAGGGATACTTTGGAGACATCGTACCATGGAGTTGAAAAGGTGAAAAAAGTTAGGCTTCAAATATTGAGACGTCAATTTAAAATTTTACAGATGAAATCCTCTGAAAGTGTTGCAGATTATGTGACTCGAGTGCTTTTTTTTGACAAATCAAATAAAAATAAACAGGGAGAATGTTGCAGATTTAGCAATTGTGGAGAAGATATTGAGATTTCTTACAACAAAATTTGATCATATCGTAGTGGCAATAGAAGAATCGAAGGATTTGTCCAAGATGACAGTTGACAAATTGATGGGTACCTTACAAGTTCACGAGCAACGCATGAATGAGAGGTCAACCGAGAAGTCCCTTGAGAAAGCTTTTCAAAGTCAAGCTTTTATAGAAAATTACAAAGGAGTGCAGTACGAAAGATACTAGCGAGGAGGAAATTCCCGTGACAGAGGACAAGGATATGGGAACTACAACAACCAAGGACGTGGATATTACAATTATCAAGGACGTAGTAGTTATAACAACAATAAAATAGATGACGACAATCAGAGAAGCAATTATCAATCAAATTTAAATTATCGAGGTCGAGGTCGAGGTCAAGGTCGAGACTTTGGACGTAGTAGAGGAAATTTTAATAAATCAAATAGTGAATATTATATATGTCACAGATATGACCACTATGCAAATGAGTGCAAGTACCAGGATAATTCCCAATCCGGAGAAGAAGTTCAATTTGCACAAGAAAAAGGTGATGATGTCAACCACACTTTATTGATGGTCACGACAGTCAGTGAAGAATAAAACTACAACACATGGTTTCTTAACAATGGGTGTTCTAATTACATTTGCGGAAAGAAGGAGTTGTTCGTGGACCTGGATGAGTCGATGCGGTCCAAAGTCAAGTTTGCCGATGACAACACTATACCAGTGATGAGAAAAAGGCGAGTTCTAATCAAGTTGAAGAACGGAGAACACAAGTTTATTTTCAATGTATTCTGTGTGCCAAATATGAAGAACAATTTACTCAGTATGGGCCAACTTCTTAAAAAGGGGTATGATCTGCGCTTCTCTAATAATCAACTCCTAATCTTTGATAAAAGAGGTGTATTTATCCTTAAATCCCCTATGATAAATAATCGCATGTTTCGTGTTAACATCCAAAATGATGCTTATCATTGCTTTAATGCTATTATGAAAGATAAGTCTTGGTTATGGCATCTCGGTTTGGACACCTGAACTTTCACAGTCTGAAGTTGTTTGCACAAAGAAATTTGGTAGAGGCTTTCCCGTTATAGATCATGCCAAACAATTGTGTGAAGGTTATATTCTTGGAAAGCAACATAGATCATCCTTTGGTATTGAAAATATTTGGCATGCAAAGAAGCCTATTGAGCTCGTTCATTCAGATGTGTGCGGTCCTATAAACACTATATCCAACGGCAATAATTGGTACTTTCTTACTTTTATTAATGATTTCACAAGGAAAATATGGGTCTACTTTTTACAGCAAAAATCTAAAGTCTTTGATTATTTTAAGAGCTTTAAAGCCATAGTTAAGAAGGAAAGCGGTTACTTTATCAATGTGATATGAACAGATGGAGGAGGTGGATATACTTCTAATGAATTCAATAAGTATTATGCGGAAGAAGGTATAAAGCGTGATGTCACTTTTCTCTACACACCTCAACATCACGGCGTCGCTAAATGAAAAAATCGAATGATACTTGACATGGTGAGAAGCATGCTGAAGGATAAATATATGCTAAATTATTTTTGGGGTGAAGCTGTCTCATGCACTATATACTTGTTGAACAGGTTACCAACAAAGTACGTTGATAATCTTACTCCTGAAGAGGCGTGGACTAGTTATAAGCCAAGTGTAAGACATCTCAAAGTGTTTGGCTCCATTGCTTATGCACATATTCCAGCAGATAGAAGAAAGAAACTTGATGACAGAGGGAAGAAGACAGTTTTTATTAGCTACAAGTGCGGGGGCTACAAACTCTACAATCCTACTATAAAGAAGGTGATTGTAAGCAGAGATGTTATGTTTGCTGAAGAAAAAGCTTGGAATTAGGATCTAGAAGCACAAAATGATTCACTGTATACTCTCCTTGATATTCTTGAAGAATGTGTCCCTGTTATAACTGAAGAAGTACCACCGACCAATGCTCCTAAAGCTCTAACCCCGCAAGTTCCATTAGAAGTTGAAAGACCAAGAAGAAATCGTAAACCATTAATTCTCTTAAGAGATTATGAAGTAACTCCAGATGATGATATTGATACAGATGGAGATATAGTACATTTTGTAATGTTTGTAGATTATGAGGCAGTTATGTTTGAAGAGGCTATTCAAGATTCTAAGTGGATAAATGCAATGAAAGAAGAGATAAAGATGATTGAGAAGAATGACATGTGGGAGCTTATGTGACGCCCCTGGGTTCACACAAGGCTGCAGTCCAAGGTGAAACCAAGAATGTCAAACCTGCCATGCACCACACCGTGCAATGACATGTTTCACCATCACAATTAACATCTATCTAGTAGAGTCAACAATAGGTGTAGGTACAAAAGCAAGTAAAATATAATACAAGAAACAACTGATGAAATGATAGTGATCACATTAATATCTCATCATCCAACATACAGAAATACATAGTCAATGTCTGAACAGATAAACTGGAATACTCAACAAGTCAGAAATACATAGTCAATGTCTGAACAGATAAACTGGAATACTCAACAAGTCTCAAATACAAATATCTGAAAAGAGAAAATAAGGCATACAGCCTTTACAACTTCTAGAATAAGACTCTCAAATGTCTAAACAAAAGTCTACTGTGGAACTCCAAAAGAAAATATAACTAAGTAGACAGCTGAAGCTAAAATGCATCGTCATCAGCCTGCGACTCTCCGGGCTCCTGGCTCGTTACCTGAAAGGGGGAGGGACAACGAGCGTCAAAACGTTAGCGAGCAACATCACAACCAACCCCAAAGGAACAGGGCTCGTTGTATAAGAAAATATAGATAATACATAATAGATCTAAAATCATTGATCTTACTAAAGAGGGTTTTAGTATTTAGAAATTTACAACACGAGCATAGGTACGTCGAGCGAAATAATCCAAACAAGGAAACACTCATGTATATACCTTGTATCTCAAATTGTAAATCCCTAAACACCAAACCCGAGGTTCTAGTACAGGAACAATAAATAAAGAAATACAACTAATCTCAGAGCATAAATACAGTGCCATGTCATAGCCTACATGAGTATCATGTTATTACTTACATGAATATCATGTCATAATATACATAAGTGTCATGTCATAAACTCCTGTGAGAAAGTCATATACAGGGTTAAGAAATATGTCCGATACAGGAACTAGATACTGTGGTTTCCAAACACATGGAATAAGTGGCAAATGTCCAACACGAGGACAAAAATGGATTATAGTCCAACACGAGGACTTCTATGGATTATAGTCCAACACGAGGACTGTGTAACTGTGAAAAATATATGCA